TATATTTAAATAATACAATTAAGTAAATATTTGGGCCTCTATAAATAAAAGGGCCTACTGTAACACAAGGCACTATGCCACCCACTGGAGATAAAAAAACAGAAATTAAAAACAGTGTCTACCTTATGAGGAGTTTACTTCTACTGGAAGATATAAACAACCAAGCAGATAAGTAAGTGGAAGATAGTTTGAGGGGAGAGAGACAGAAAGACAGAGAGAGAGAGAGAGAGAGAGAGAGAGAGAGAGAGAAAACACTAATAGCTAGGAGAATCCAGAAAGGCTTGCATAAGTGGTGGCTCATGAAGGGGACAGCTAGGTGGAGCAGTGGATAGGGCACTGACCCTGGAGTCAGGAGGACCTGAGTTCAAATCCAGCCTCAGACATTTGACACTTATTAGCCGTGTGACCCTGGAAAAGTCACTTAACCCCAATTGCCTCATCCAAAAAAAAAAAAAAGATGGTAAAGCTAAGAACTGGATAATAAGGGATAGAGATGAAAAGGAAATTCATTCCCAGCATAGAAGATAGCCTGTACAAAGAGGTAGGAGATTTGGGGAACAAAAAGTAAGCCAGCTAGGCTGGAATATAGAATGCATGAAAGTGATGTATAATAACGATGATTAGGTATAATCAAGAATATTAGGAACTATGGAGTTTTCTTTTTGTCCTAGAGGTAGGAGGAAACCACTGAAAATTCTTGAATGGCAAAATTAGAGGCTCAGACCTGTGCTTTAGGAAGATTATCTTGGGAAATGAATAGAGTTTGGATTGGAGAAAGGAAAGAGGAGAAAATGAAAGTTGGGGAAACCCAATTATTTAAAAAATCCAGACAGTAGATGATGAGAGTCTACACAAGGGCCAGAAGGGCACCACAGACCCAAGAGATTTGTGTGGGGAGAATCAACCAAATTTAGTGACTGCTTGGCTGAGGGAGAGCCCAAGACAGCAAACTTCTGTCACTAGGAGGGTGGTGACTTCAATAGAAAGGGGGAAGTTTGGAGAGATGAGTGTACATGGAAAAGATAATGAGCTCCATTTTGGACATATTGAATTTGCCATTTTTGTAACACTACTATCACTTTGGTTCAGTTGAATTCAATTCAACAAACATTTATTAAGCTCCTGTGCCTAGAGCATTGTGCTAAGTATTGAGGGAGATGTAAAGTCTAGACACCATCCCTGATCTCTTGGAGTTTATACTCTAGTATGGCATCAAGACATACATACAGATGACGATGACTCACAGCAATCTTTCTCATAGGTAGGAAGGAGTGCTTACTGCTGCTGAGGGAACTGGGAAACCAAGAAAGAACTCTGAGGTTTGTATCAGATTCTTCCTTCTTTCCCCTCTAGCAAAAGTCTCTCACCAGAGAGAGCAATAAGGAAAGGAACCTATTCTTTCCTGGCTCTGACAGCTATTCAGACATAGACAGGACATGCAGGTCTAAGACCCTAGATTGTGACACTCCCCTGCTGACTAAGCCTGTTTTTCTCCTGAGTTAAAGAAGAACTGAGACAATGTCTCTGCCCCTAGACTTCTCTTGGCAGGTCAGGACAGGTTGGGCTTCCTCTACTCTGAAGGCATTGGGGATAAACATCAGTTGGACCTTCCTGACCGGATTGGGTGTTCAAAGGAAGATACTGCATCCCCTCCCTTTGGAGGGCTGTAACAAAAGAAGAGAAGCCCAATCTGCCTGAAATGGGGAAGCCCATCTGGAGGCAGAAGAATATGTTAAATGACTCCTCAAAATCAAGATCGTTATAATTTTACACAGAAACAGGGGCATTCAAGGCTTCTTGCAAATTATTCCATTCTCCCAAAACCCAACAGGGTTTTGATATTGGTTCTTCCTGGGCACTTGATGGATGTAGCTTGGGGAAGAGAAGAAAAGACTTGAGAGTTGGGGGAGCAGGGAGGGAGGAGAATGGTCACCATCTTCCCATATTTCAAGAGCTGCCATATGGATTGTGGGTTCTCAGAATCAATGCTGATGGAACACAAGCTCTGGCAAGTTCTTAAAAGGTAGAGGGATGCCGAGCACGGTTCCAGGGATGCCTTGTTGCAGTCCAAGGACTAGGCTGTCTTGGCTAGGCCATGGATAAGCTCATATCCAGGAGATTGCCCATCAGAAAAAAATATAACATGACCTTCAGTCCTGTGCAGCCCCCTTTCATTTCACAGTGATGGTGTTAGTAGAGTGCTAGAAGAGGGGGCAGAGGTCTCCTGGAGTCACAAATATTAACAAATATTAACTTAATTCTTAACACTCTAAATAAATGCAAAACTTTTGTCCAATGACCAACAGATAAGTATGCTACTGGACAAATTAAATTATATACATATTAATATTCTTACTCTAAATGAAACCATAAGGCATAAAGATATTATAAGTAAATGGAAGAATTAAACCTTTCTTGATTCCCCCAGCTGCTAGTACTTTCTTATTGCCTTCTCCCCATTACCTTGGATTATTTTAGTATAAATTTTGCATATATATGTAAATGTGTCCCCAATATAATGAAAAAGGGACTGCTTCATTTTTGCCCATATCTAGCATAGTGCCTGGCACAGTAGGTGCTTAATAAATGTTTGTCAATTGATTGTTTGGTTGAAGATGGCTCACAGGTTCTCCCAAAGAGGGGAATAAAGGGATGGAAAAAGTCTGTTCCATCAAATACCCAAAAGAAACAGAGATATCATTTCATAGAGCACTTGATCATAGGCTACCTTACCTCAGCTCATGAACATAAACAGATTGCCATAAAGATAATTATAGCTAACATGCCATCCTCTGTGGTAAAAAGGTTGAAGAAATATGGAAATCTCATGAAGAATTTGACAACGTCCTTCAAAGTGACTGAACATTTAGCTTGATACTTAGGACTTTGAAAATTCAGCTCCCCCAACATTTTTCTACAGGCCTATCATGGAGGCACTCAGGGAGTACAAAGACAAAATCCAATAAGCCCTAACTTCAAGGATCTGGCAGTCTTGGGGACTGTTGGCATACTCAGAGAAGTAGAACTATCTGCCAACAATATGTACACAGACAAGGAAACAGAAGGCCATTTGATGAAGAGAAGGAATCAACATCTTTGAGCCAAGACTTTGAAGGAGGATAAGGATTCAGAAATGAAGAAATGAAGAGGGATCATGCATTTCAGGCATGGGGGAGGAGAATGCCAGAGGGTAGGAGGCAGCTAGGTGGCACTGTGGATAGAGCATTGGGCCTGGAAGCAGGAAGACCTGAGTTTTATTCCTGCCTCAGACACTAGCTGTGTGACCCTAGATAAGTCATTAACCTCTATCTGCCTCAGTTTCCCCAACTGTAAAATGAGGATCATAGTACCTAACTCACAGTTTTGTGTGGATCAAATGAGACAATATTTGTAAAGCACTTATCACAGTGACTGACATATAGTAGGTGACTAATAAATGCTTGTGCCTTTCCCCTTTTCTTTCCTTGTGGAAGGGAGGTAGAAGGCTGAGTTTGGGAAATACCTAACAGTTCAATTTGGCTGAAATATAGAATAGGTGAAAGGTAACACTATGAAAGATGGCTGCAGAAATGGGTTGGGGTCAGATTTTGGAGGGCCAGCCTTAAATGCCAGGCTGAGTTTGAGGGTTTTGCCTTTTATCTTAGGGACCATGGGAAGCTACTAAGGCAAGAACAGAAAGGAGCAGTGTGGTGGAAATGGGCAGAGAAGTAAAACTCCCCGTGGAAGCCCACTCAGAGAGGTCTTGGACCAGGACCCCCTTGGGTTGCATGCAGCCCAAGCTTACTTACTTGATATTTCTTAGATGCTATATATATTCCAGCTCAGAGTTTAGGACGAGGAGTTAGGAGATGTGGATTCAAAGGGTCAGCTCCATCACTTATTAGCCATCTGATCTTGGGCAAGTTATAATATCTTTGGGTCTCAGTTCACTCATTCACAAAATGAGGTGGGAGAAAAAGAAAGTGTGACTTACAAGATTTGGAGCTGGAGGGGGCCTAAGAGGTCATCTTGGTTCTGAGAAATTATTTGAATTCAACTGCCTTGTCTGACAGATGAGAAAACTGAGACCCACAGAGCTTAAGAGACTCACTTAAGATCACATGGGTAGTTTGTAACAAAGCTAGCATTCGAACCCAAGTTCAGGCAGCTAGGTGGTGCAGTGAACAGAGTGTGGGACCTGAAGTCAGGAAGACTCATTTTCCTGAGTTCAAATCTGTCCTCAGACACTTACTAGCTGTGTGACCCTGGGCAAGTCACTTAACTTTCATTGCCTCAGTTTCCTCATCTATAAAATGAGCTGGAGAAGGAAATGGCAAACCACTCCAGTACCTTTGTCAAGAAAATTCCAAATGGGATCATGAAGAGTCAGACAAGACTGAAAAATGACAAAACAACAACTTCTGACTCCAAGCCCAGGATTCTATCAGCTATAGCATGTTTACTTGGTTCTGACAGCTAACCACCCTTCCAGCTCTAATGTTCTTTGAGGTTTAAGAATGTATCCAAAAGGTATAATGTAAAGAAGAAAGCACCTTTAAACTCAGCTGGTAAAGGTGGGTGCAAAGGTCCCAGGCTCAGAATATTACTGCTGGAAGGGCCCATAAAGATAATTTAGTCCAAACCCTTTCTTTTAAAGATGAGGGAATTGAGGACCAGATAGGGGAAATTGCTTGTCAAAGGTCCACAGAACCAGGACTAGAACCCCAGTTTTTTGACTCCTTAGTCAGTATCCTTTGCACTAAGCTAAGAAAGCCGGAGAGGGTCCTCTTTATTTTGTCCTCCTATGGCTTTTCTTCAAATTTCTCAGGACGTTGGTCAACCATCACTGAGTCCCAAGAGGGACAGTGTCTAACCCCATCCCCTACAAGGGGTACCAATTCCCCTTTCCTTGGTAAATATGAAATGGATTAGGAGTTCTCTGTCCCAGCCCCCGCCCCTGACAATTGCTATTCCCACCCAACAAATGAAAATAGCCCATGTGGTATACACAACGCCAGAAGTGTTTCTCATTTGGCTTTATTTTGAGGGCAGTGCTTGGCTGGGGGGCAGATGCTTTTCCTGAGACATAGCGGAAGAGTGCAGGAAGCCCTGGAGATAGGAGGATCCAGAGAGGCAGGAAGATGGACAGACGGATACACAAAACGATGGAGTTGAGTCTTCAAGGTGTGTCTTTTTTAGGAGGTTCTACCACTGCCGCATCAGCTTTCTCCCACAGGCCAGACAACTTGTCCGTCCAAGTGCTCCAGTAGTCTTGCAGGGAACTGAAGCCGTCAGTCACCCAGCCCCTAAAGGATTAAACAGAAAGAGGAAAACCTTTGGGAATGGGGCCAAATGGTAGTGGAAATCCACCTCGGGACTGAACACCTTACCCTCTCTTCCTAGCCTTCTTTCAAACCTATCATACTTCAACAGTCTCCCCACAGACCCATTTCTGTCATGGTTAGAAACATCTGGAAGGAGGATAAATGATGGTGAGTTGTCTTATCCTATTCCACTGGCCTTCCTGTGATTGCCTTAGGCTCATCCCTAAAACAGAGACTTGGACTTCCAGGCCCTAGGAAGAAGACTGGCGACTAGGAGTGAAAAGCAGATTATGGTAGTGTCAGGCAGAGCAGGGGAAAGGGGCTGGAAAGTCTCCTGAGCAACTTTGCCAGACTACACAGAACCTTCCAGCAGAGTAGAAGCTAAGTGGCTAGGGGTGGGAAGGGGAGAGGCTCAGGGAAATGGGGATTGGAGCTCAATGAGGGGTACCATTTTTCCTTGTTGAGTCAGATTCACCTAACGCAGCAGGGGCAGAGGAAAACTGGGGAGAAAGGAAGGGGTGAGCTCTTATTTAACTAGACATTTATATAACCAACTAACTAGCTTCATCTCTCTGGGCCTCAGAATGATCATCTGTACAATGAGTGGATAGAACTCTAAGGTAGTTGCTAACTCTCACATTCTTTGATAGACGCCATTCTATGGAATGGAAGAGGAAACAGTAAGGGTGTGTAGGAAGTTTGAAGTCAACAGCGGAAGCAGTTTTATTCTCAAGCCTGTGGCTCAGAAGTAGTGAGAATTGGGAAAGTTTCCTGGGGGCCCCTAGAAAGAAGAAAACGGCAATAGTAGAAGAGAGGCAGGAAGGTGGTAGAGGAGGACATAAGGAGACCAGGAAAAGGGAGGAGGAGACACTTAGAAAAAAGAGGTGAGGACAGAGAGAAGGAGAGGGAGAATGGACTTTCCCACCCACAGTGGCATCAATATTTAAGGGTATGAAGCCCTCCAAAATTATTTCCATGATCTAGGCTCTTGCTTCTTAATAACCTAGACTGGGGTCCAAGCTTCTGAGAAGGGAAGAATAGAGAGGGAAGGGAGGAAAGCCAGAGAAAGGGAGGCCGAAAAGGGGGCAGATAGGGAGGGAAGGAAGGATTAGGGAGAAATTTCATATGAGGGAGAAGAGACAGAGGGGGAAAGAAGAAGGAGGTTAAGATATAAGGGACAATGGGAAAGGAAAGAGAGATAGAAGGAGGAAGAGCAAAAAGGATGGGGAGCAGTAGGAATAAAAGAGGGAAAGAAGAAGGGGACAGAGGAGAAAGAGTGATAGGGATGAAAGATTGGGGTTAGAGGATACAGAAAGGGGAAGAGGCAGGTGTGGAGAAGGAGGGAGGTAGAAGTGAAAAAGAGGGGAAGAGGAAGGAGACGTGGGGAGAGAAGGGGGGAAAGAATGGTGAGGGAGAAAGGAAGGTCAGGAGCTGGGAGTTTGTGAGCGGTGAGGAAGGCCTGGCATACTTGGCTTGCCGGGCCACTTGAGATTCCTGCACGGTGGTCAGAGCCTCCTGGGCTTGCTTGGCTGCCTGCTGTACATAATCTTGGACCCGGTTCAGGATCGTCTCCTCTTCCTGGGCATCTGCACGGAAGGAAATGGGAGAGGGGAGGTGGCATGAGTCTGGAATCAGGCTAAGGAGGAGAAGGTAGCCTTGCTTGGGTCGGGAAGTTCCTAAGAGGGATAGAAGCAGGATACCGAGAATCATCCTGGGCTTTTCTCCTTTTGCTCTCTCGCTCTCTCATGGTGTCCCACATCAGAATAAGGGTAGAGAGGACCACAAGGTTAGTTCTGGTTGGAACCAGGGAGTAAGAGACTCAGGCAGGAGGCCCCTCTTTGGGGTGAGGATAAACCTGATCCTCAGAGCCATACCTAGGTTGAGGTTACTATGGCTCTGTGCTAGGGCATGGAATTTGTAGGGCATTGACAATTCCCTACGAACAACAGAGCTTAGTAAGTACTTAGCAAGAATAATTCATCAAAATGCTGGGGTTGCCTTTATCTCCTCCCCATGCTGTTTCCTGTCCCTGACCCAGCTGTGGCCTTTCACTGATATCTCAGAACTTCTATGTCCCACCCCCAGGACGAAGAAGTGTCTCATTCCTCCTCAACCACCAGTCAACTGAGGAGCACTTGCCCCTCCATTGTGGTACTTGCCTTGGCTGCAAATATCCCCTTGTTACAGCTTTGTTGAGCCTCATCTATCTTGAAATGAGTTGCGATAGGACCAGGTAGAAAGCAGTGATGCCCTGGGCTCCCTTCCTTCCTTCCTCCCTATGTACTTTCCAGAGTCCCATCCCCATAACCAACCCCCACCCTGTGCCAGAGGGTCTTACAAGCAAAGACCAGCAGGGTCAGGAACACAGCAGCAAAGAAACCTCGGCGCTGCATGGTCACTCTGCGTCTGAGAGAAAATGACCCAGATCAGTAGGGACCCCAAACTCCCTGTAAACCTTTCACCTCCCTGCAATAGCAGCTCCCCATTCTGGCCCAGACAAGCCCTGTTCCCTGAAGAGACTGAAGCATTATCAAAAGCCAAAAAGGACCGAGGAGAGCAGGACCCAGGAACCCCGACTCCTGCTATGCCACTTCCCAAGGTGGATGGGTTCTAGGACTGATAGTCTACCATACTCTAGGACTATGATAGTCTGCTACCAAGAATATATACTTGCTCTGACATTCTAAGGGTTGGGGACACTGTCTAGCAGAGGAAATGGGGAGGTTTAGGGTCCCATGCTGTGCTCTCCCTATGAGCATTCTCTCCCCTCCCTGCCCCATTCCCCCAAAGGGACTCAGAGCTCAAGATTTATAAGTATAGGCTCTGCCCTTCCATGGTGGATGAATTTTTCCTCATCTCCCCTGCCCACCCCTCTCCATCCCTGGAGGTTTCACCTGGAAAGCTGCTTCCTGGGATGTGCTGATTGGGATGGGAAGACCCACTGTGGCCTGTTTTATATTGTCCCCTGGGCAGCGGGCACTGGAGGCTTAGGCAGCTGGGCAAAGGTCACCTGCTGACCTGTCCAGATAGGGTTAGAATAGAGAGCCAGGCAGCCAGCTCTGGGTGGAGGTTAGGAAATCCCAAGTGAAATAAAGACAAAAAGCTATCTGTCCTCCTCCCATCCCCTTAGCTCCTTGTTGTCTGGGCTCAGAGCCAGTGTCGTGGATGGAGCCTTTTAAGACTCCACTCCTATGCCCCATGGCAACCTGGTTCTCTTAAGGACAAGCAAGGAGAGCACCATACCTTCTGGGCAGGAGGTAGGGTCAAGCTTCACCAAACTTGCTGGTGAGAGAGGGAGAGGGTGTTTCGGGGTATCTCCAAAATATTGTTCCTGGAATTCCCATCTTCAAGGGAAGCAAAGGTGAGGGAACTGCCTTCGGTGACTGCTTTGACACAGAGACAATGGGTAGCAGCAGCTTTCTAGGGCTTCTGTATTATCTCTGGACCTGGAAGTTTGGAAGATTAGAAGCTGCTCCTTCCCTTCCTTTTCCTCCCATCTCACAGGGCTGGGACAGAAGGAGACCAGTGAGACCAGAGAGAAAAATTAGGGGAGACAGTGTTCCGACCTCAGGCCCTGCTCCCTCAGGCCTGTAGCCTAGTATTCCTGTGATTGTGGAGGGGCAGAGATCAAGGCACACTTTCACACACTCTCCTTTCTACCTCCCACCCCCCATCCTTAGCATCCCTTTCTCAGACTCCTTTACTAGCTGAACCCAAGTGAGTTGGGGGTGGGAGGCGGAGGAGGCCAGTCTGATAGATAACCAGAGTCCTTCATTACCAACCATGTGTTCCCCCTTCCTCTTTGCCACCACAGACTGTTGATCCTCCTCACCTTGCCCTCTGGACTGAGTGATAAGGTGTTCCCCAACAGGAACTCAACTCGTGGCAAAGGAAAATCCCAGCCAAGCTGGAATTCAGGGTTCCAGATTCCTGCCCATGATTCTTCAGGGGACTGAAGAATCTGGAGCCCAATTCCTCCCCTCTGTGCCTCAGTTACCTCGCTCTTAGATTAATTGACTTGTCTCCTTTACAAATCAGGTTTGCTTGACAGGAGTCCCGACTCAATTAAATAAATTGATGGAGGTCATATATTGCTAAGAAGACAATAGCTATTACCTCTCCTAATCAGACTAGAGAGAGTGAAAGACCAAGGCCTCACAGGAGACAGGACTTCTGTGGAGGCCAACAGAGTCCTGAAGAAGGCCTGGCATCATCCTCATCTTCACTCAGGCCTTAAGTGCCCTAGGCTGGCCACTATAAGGCTAACAGGATACATGACTCCTGCCTAACTAGAGTCAATAGTCTGAAGGGTGAGAGGGGTTTCTTGAGGAGGTCAAGAGTGATTTGCCCAAAGCCTGCTGTATACAAAAGCAGAGAAGACAACTACCCATATACAGTGATTGTGGGGGGGTTGAAGCTTCCGTCCCCCTTAAAGATATCCTTCCCCTCACAAGCATCTGCCTCAACTCAACGATTTAGAACTCCATTCCTTTAATTGCAGATTTCCCCCCTGCTAAAAATACAAATCCTCTAAGGAGGAATCATTTTTTAAGTGGCAGGCAGCGTTGCCTAGTAGAAGGAGCAACCGAGGGTGAGTCAGGCAACCTTTGTGACTTTGGACAAGTCACTTAAGCTCTGTTGGCCTTAGCTCCCTTGTTTGAAGGTACTGGCCTATCTGGCCTCCCAAGTCCCTTACGGCTCTAAATCTATGAGCCAAAAGTATCATTGCTTACTTATTCCTTGGTGCAAATGGATCTATCTAATCCTTTCATAAGAGAAAGTTCGGAAGAGGGGAGAAGAAAGCGTAAAAAATTACTGGGAAGCTTTGGGGGTTATAGAGGAGGTGCTGTTGAGTTGAAAGGAGAAGAATGAAAAATAGATCATTTGGGGGTGCTGAAAACAGATGCCAGCTTCACAAGGTTGAAGCCTTCAAGATGACTTGAAACCTCAGCTAATATCCCACTTTTTGTAAGAGGCCTCTCCTAGTGCCCCTAATACTGGTACCTTCCCTTTCAGATGGGTTTACTGGGCCCTTTTCAGGGCTGCTCACCCACCTTTGGCATCCACCTCTCACCCAACTCTCACCCGGGGCTCCAGGAAGCGTAGCATGCGCAGTGACCACACCCAGGAGTAAAACCCTTTCACCCCGAGTATATAAAGACTGGTGGAATGGGCAGATGAGAACAATTTGTTCTAATGGCCATGAAGGCAGTCAGACATAGAAGACACCAAGGTCATTCTCTGCACCCTGGGCCATCGACCAGTCACCTTGATTTTATCTTGCCACTGGACTTTGATAACTCTGACAGAGAGAGTGAGACTGATGACTTTGTGCAACTCTTGTCTTAAGTCCAATTCATGCATGAGTCAAGATATCACCCCCATGATGTCATTGGTTCTCTTTGAAAACCAAGGATGAACAATTGCCCATTTATTCTGTATGTACATAGTTATTTACATGTTGTCTCCTCCTTTAGAATTCGAGCTCCTTGAGAATGAGGGCTGTTTTTGCCTTTCTTTGTATCCCCAGCATTTAGTATAGCACCTGGCACATAGCAAGTGTTTAAGAAATGCTTGTTGAAAGAAAAAAAGAAATGCTTGTTGGCTAACTTTTTGACTGAAAGGAGGGTCAACAATGGCCTGATTGCTAGGACACTAGAGCCTGCTGACCAGCCCTTAGAGGAGGGTGAATGCCATCTTTTCCCACAATCAGAAACTAGGAGAGGCACAAGAAAGGGGGAACCACCTGAAGTCGCACCCCATGAGTTTAGCAGCTCAAAGCACTTTTTGATCTCTGGTCTCATTTCTCCTCCCAATAGACTGGGAAACTGGTGAGGAAACTGGATCCTTCTCCCAATGTTAGGAGGGGAAACAGAGAAGTTAGCTCACCCAAGGTCATGGTAAATGGGAACTTGAAAACCCCTAAACCAACAGCCAGTTTACTTGCTAATATGTTCTCAGGTACAAAATTCACCCTTATAAAGGAAGGGAAAAAAGCATTTATGTAGCACCTACTAAGTGCCAGGCACTGTGCTAAGTGATTTTACAAATATCCTCTCTTTTATTCCTCTTAATCATTCTGGAAGGTAGGTGCTATTATTATCCTCATTTTACAGTTTCTTTATTTGAGGTAACTGAGGCAAACAGAGGTTAAGTGACTTACACAGGATCTCAAGAAGTGTCTGAGTCTGGATTTGAACTCAGGTGTTCCTAACTCTAGACCCAGCACTCTATCCACTGTGCCAACAGCTGCCTCTCTCTCTCTATAACAACATGTGGTTACAACAATATGTATTTCTTTTTTTTAAAAAAAACTTTTTGGCTTAGATTCTTATAATCTAGCCACTGCTCAGATTTTTACAATCTAGCCAACACCTCACAGACACTCAGATTCCTTAAGAGTCTGCCCAATATAGTGGATTTTTAATAAACCTTGTCTTTGGCTGAAAAAAAAATACTTTTTAATCATCTTTTATCTTTATATTGCCTTTACTTCCTAACATATCTATCCCCCTCCCCATCCCTTATAACAAAAAAGAAAAAAGAAATAAGAAAATAAAAGCATTTTAGCAAAACTAACCAATACAAAGGAAGCTGACAGTATGTGCAATGAATAACTCACATTTCAGTAACACCTGAAGGTTTACAGTGTACTTTCCTCATGAGAACACTGCGAAGTAGGTCGTGTAAGAATTATTATTTCCATTGGGCCTATGAGGAAATGGAGTCTTACAGAGGTTAAATGATTTGCCCATAGCCACATAGCCAGGTAGGTATATCAGACCCAGGTCTCCAGACTAGTGCTCTTTCAATATACCAGTGAAATGTTGTAGGGAAATCTAGGTGTTCAAATGGATAGAGGGCTATTCTTTGGGGTCAGGAATATCTGAGTTCAAATCCTGCCTTAAACGTTGCTAGTGGTGGGACCCTGGACAAGTTTCTTAACTTCCATTTCTCCATCTGAAAAGTAGAGATAATAAGTACCTACATCTCAGGGTCATTGTATCAAATAAGATATTTGTAAGCACATTGCAAACCTTAATGTGCTATATAAAAGTTATTTATTATTATTATTATTAGCTGTGAGACCCTGAGTAAGTCAACCTCACAACCTCAGTTGGGGATAATTAAGAACAGATTCCACACAAGGTTATTGTATGTTTGATTACATCAAATAATAGAGGAGAAGAGTTTTGCAAACCTTAAAGGGCTATATAAATATTAGCTATTATTACCGATAATATCACCACAACCCTCATGATTGTTGTGGAATATTTTTCAAAGGACCTTCACACTTATTAGGATCTTAGAGGCTCAGAATTGGGAAGGAGGTCAGAAATCAGCTCATCCAGGGCATGTCTGAACAGGAATCCTCTGGACAACATGGAGGGTTCAATTCCAGTGGTTGGGCAATGGGGCCATAGGACAACTGAGCTCAGGGTGAGTGGGGAGGTCTATAGTCAGAGACCATTGTGATGTACAAACAAAAACCATCACTTGACCCTATTTTTAAAGTGTCTGTCAAACCTCAGCTTGAAGACCTCCAGGGAGGGTGATCCTGCTGCCTCCCATGCCAAGTTCAGAGCTCTCATGCTTGGGAAGTTCTTCCTGACATCAAACCTAACTCAATTTGCCTCTTTGCCACTTCCCCACTGCTCCTACTTCTTCCCTTGTAGAACAGGTCTAATCTCTCTTTCAAGCAACAGCTCTTTAAATATTTCCTTTTGTCCTGCCCAAATCTATTCTTTGCCTGTAACCTTCACATCAATCATGTCAGTCCCTAAGCTCTCCAGGAATTGGGTGGAAAGCATTCCCTGATGTTCACTTGTGGCTCATCCCCTCCTATTCCCCAGCTCTTATTCCTTACCCACCAGAAATGTCCCTAATGTTTGTTGTTGTTCAGTCGTGTCTGACTCTTCATGATCCCATTTGGGATTTTCTTAGCAAAGATACTGGAGTGGTTTGCAATTTCCTTTTCCAGCTCATTTTTACAAATAAGGATATGGAAGTAAACAGGGTTAAGTGACTTGCCCAGGGTCACACAGCTAGGAAGTATATAAGACTGGATTTGAACTCGGATCTTCCTAACTTCAGGCCCCACATTCTATCCACTGTGCCACCTAGCTGCTCTTAGTGTGTAGTAGACGAGAAAATTACTCAAGGCTCGTGCCGAGGTAGAGAATTCCTGCTCAGGTACAGGTTAGGCTAGATGATCTTTGAAATCCATTCTAGTCCTCAGACTCTATACTCTGTACTTTATTCCTCCCCTTCCCTCACTTTTCCTCTCTCCTTCACAAGTATGGACACGAATAGTGAAAAGGCTTCCTTTGTATTATAAAAATTAAGAATTAAGGTTATAAAAATGTCCTCAGTCTGGTCATCCTAACCCTCCTTGAATCTGAGACTCTATCAAGATACAGTGTGATTTAATTTCCAAAAGAAGTCAGAACTGGCAATTAGATGGAGGACGGTCTTCATATAAACCAGCATGAGAGTGTCAGGCAGGCAGCCTTTCATTAAACACTTACTATGAGCCAGAAACTGTGTCAAATGCTGGGGATACACATACAAGCCCAAAAAGCCACAGTCCTTGCCCACTAGGAGTTTACAGTCTAACGGGGAAAGACATACATAAAAGGGAACTGATAAAAGGGTTGTTCAAGTGGACAGAGTATTCAGTGGAGTCAGGGGACAGAATAATTGGGGAGGGGAAGAAATGGGGTCAAAGTCCCAAAAGTCAAGAAGCCCAGCTGGGAGGAAAATGAAGTGTGACAGACCTGGGCCCATTCCCAAAATGGAGGCCCTGGAAGAAACTCACCAATGGGAGGAGGAGGCTGGTAGGGCAAAGGGATGCTTCAGGGTGAGAATACCACAGGCACTGAAGGTAGTTCCCAGGTGGAAAGGCAGCTGCCTTATGGTGTCAAAGTCCAGAGAGTCATGATTTTTCTAATTTATCCTGAACTGAAGAGGCTACTCTTCTGTGTTCTTTTTGTTTACCATCAACTTTCCAATGGAAAACAGATCTCTCTCCCAAGAGTATGTCAACATTAACATTACCATTGTTCTACTTGGCAGACCAAAAACCCTAAACTTAAACCTTATACCTTTGTTCCATGTTGCTGCCTGAATTTATCTTTTGTTTTGTGATTACTATGAAACGTAAGTTGGAAATTGCTTACGTCAGAAGGTTCTCTGAATTAGCAGTTCTGTAAACCAGAACCTCTTTGCAAGCAGAAAGTTGGTATGTTAGTACATTATGTCTCTGACAGATTCAGCTAAAAACATAGAATGTAGAGTGTTTTTATTTCACCCAGGAGCCAGAGAGGCAATTGAGTAGGTGAGAAGTTACCTCCACTAGCTGGTATTAAAAGGGCTCATCCTCTCTCCGCAGAACAGCTGGGCTTCTGTCTGTCAGCTTGTCTATACTCCCAAAATTGGTCTGGAAGGGAAAGAGGCTGTTAAAACTTGGGAAGAGGAGTAAGCACCAGCCCTGCATTAGTTTGGTTGTGGAGTCTAGGAGAATCATAGAATCCAGAATCTATCTTATGTAGATCCCTGCCTCTCTAGGCAGAACAACCCAGGCCAGCCAGAGGAATCTCTCCCTTGTTCTTTCTCTTTTCTAGGGAAGGACATATCAATGGCCTCAATTGCCCATGTGAATGGGCAAGGTACCTAATTTTTTTGTTTCTCAGAATCTGCCCCTGTAACCGGGTATGGGGGAAGCATACTGGCTGTTCTCTGACTCCAGGACTCTTGATCAAAGAAAATCACAGACAGAAAAGTACTTTAAGCTGCCTAAATCCAAAGGGTTGTGGCTTTGAGTGGTTGTATAGTTTACCCACCTTTTTCAGTGGGCATTCTGAAAGATGGATATGCTTTTTGTGTCTCTAGAAAACTCTATCTGTGTGAACCATGTAGATGTGGATCTTGCGTTGAGGCTATTTTCCCAACTCCACTTTTTCCTTTCTCCTCTCTGCTTTAGTCCCAGGATCACCTGAACTAGGGACAACCATGAAGGAAAGCTAAGTGGAATCCTGGGGACTGACATCCGGACTGATAGTTTATGATTCCCACCTAATTCTTAAAGTTGAGGAGATAGGCTAAGGGTCAGAGGTCTAGGATTGAGGTTGGAGGTGGGATTGGTAAGGGGTCTCTCTTTTTCTATACTCAGGAGTGAGGGAATGGCCTCTGTCCTTGACAGGCTTGGCCAGGACCCAAGGCTACATGTGGGTGGGGCTCTAATTATTTCTCTCCTTAGAATTCAGGGATATCCAACTCTCCTCCACCCACTCTATTCCTTCCATTCTTCCTCCCAGGGCCTTTGGGAGGATAACGGCTTATCCAGACCTCTCTCCAAACCATAGGATTGATAACTTCCATGTTGTGGGGTCGCCAAAGTCCAAGCAGTTTCCCAGGAATGTGCCACCTTCCAGCGTGGAGCTACCAGAGAGGGGAGAGGATCTTGGAGTCAAGGATAAAAAGCTATCTAGCCCAGACCTGGGGCAAAGTGGAAGGAAGGACAGATGAACCCTTCCTCTGCTAGGGCATCCTCTCTGGCTGTCTTCTACCCCAGAACTTTGGCTGGTGGAATATTCCACTGGAGGTGGGGGAGGAGCTCAGGCACCAAGGAGCTTGGCAAGAATGGAGGATGTGGGAAGGGGAGACCTTAGAAGGTAGGAAGGGACCAAGGCTGGAACTCACTCATCCTTTATCTCTCTCCTCATAGGATCCAGTGCTGTGGGGCTCAGCCCAGACTCAGCACAGAGGCCAAGACGTTTCTCAAAGCTATGATATTCTCTCTGGCTTTTGTGGCTATCACCAATAAGTGAATGCAGCCCCAAATAGGACCATAGATTCTGGGCTGAGCTTGGAATGGAGAGGAAGGTAACAGGGGAGAGTTGGGAACTCCTTATCCCCATTTGAGTCTTATGGTGCTGGTATGGTTGCCAGGCATGTTGGAAGGGGGTTAAAGTGGGGAGAGATTGAGATATAGGGCATAAGTACTTCTGTTCCACTCCCATGTTAATCTGGGCTGTAGCCTCTGTTATAGGATCATTTGCATTGGGTATACATGTAATTTACATGCTGTTCATTATTCATTTCAGGTTAAAACCAGGGAAATATCTCTGGCCCCAGCTTTTTCCCTGCCCAGGCTAACATCCCCCCTCCCCCCACTAATACCCTCCACTCCCTCCCTACATCAGAATGGGCAAAGCCCCACCCGGAAAAACAATTGGTTGGGTTTACCCTCATTAAATCTAGCCTGGACCATGGGGCAGCCTCTGTCTGAACCTTGGTGCTGAGCTTCTGTCCTTCTCCCTCCCCAGGAGTCCAGGCTGAGATGCACCCTGACCAAGTATCCAAACTAGTATGGGACTACTTCAACAAGCTGAGCACCAATGCCAAGGATGCCATGGAACAGCTGCAGAAGTCTGAGCTCAACCAGCAGCTCAAGTACGAGGGTATGGCCTGTGGGGAGGGGGGGTGACGGGCAGGAAGAGGCGGGGGCCTTTGGTACAGGGAGCCAACCCACAGGGCTGGCTTGGGTCCTTCAGGAGGTCCTAAAGATGGACTGGAGGAGACTTGGGGTGATTTTATTTAGAGCAGGTTCCTAGCTGAGTTTTTAGAGAGGAGTTAGGGAGTCACAAGAGTAGAGATTTACAAGTAGATACTTGGGGACACTTCTGACCTTTGGGGGAGTAAAGCCTAAAGAAGACAACTACCATGTTGCCTGGTCCACTAACACACTATGGGTCTCAATTCACTCCACCACCAGCCCTTCTGCCCCCATTCACATACATATTTCTAGCCTAGGCCCGTACTTGGAGCAATTCCAATATGGTGGGACTTGCTACAGTTTGTGCTCTGCTGGCAAAGCTTGGGAGAATCACAGGGCCGCCCCGGATCATGATGAGGCATCAGTGAACATTAGTGAAGGATTTTTTGGTAATATAATAATGATATAATGTAATATGATACGATATATAGTATAATATAATACACTATATTATAATACAGTGTTATGTTATATGTTGTATTATGATATACTGTACAATATATAACTATATAATATACTAATAGCAACCACTATCTTCTTCTTCTTCCCCTGGGCAGCAATCTTTTTATGGAGAAGTGTGGGGAAGTTAGCACTCAGACTGACGACCTGAAGAAGAAGCTAGTGTCCTTTGCCATGGAATTGCTGTGCCTTCTGGTCCAGGACTCAGAAAAGCTCAAGCTGCAGATCCAGGAGGAGCTGGAGGAGCTGAGGCTCCAGCTCCAGCCCAATGCAGAACAGGTCAGCCAGAAGATGAATGAGAACGTGCAGGCCCTGAAGCAGTGCCTGAAGCCTTGCACCAATGAGCTCCAAAACAGCCTCAATGAGAACGCAGAGCAGCTCCGCCAGCAGCTGGCCCCCCTTTCCCAGCAGTTGGAGGCCACCATGAAGGAGAACCTCAGAGCATTCAGATGGCCCTGGCCCCCTTCGCTTGTGAGTTCAAGGACAAGGTCAACCAGCACGTGGATAAGATGAGATGTCAGCTCACCCCCTACGCAGACCAGCTCCAGAACAAGATTGACCAGCACATTGCAGAGCTTCAGAAGACCCTCATCCCCTTTGCCAAGGGTGCCCAGGAACAGCTCAATCGCCAGATCGAATGTCTGGCCTTCCAGATGAAAAAGAATGTGGATCAGCTGAGGACCAAGATCTCGGACAATACAGAGGACCTGAAGCAAAAGCTGACACCCTTTGCTGAGGAGATGAAGGGGAAGCTGCCCAAAAGCTCAGAGGAGCTGCACCAGTCCTTGACCAAGCTGAATGTACAGGTGGACCAGCAGATTGAAGAGTTCTGCAAGAATATGGGGACCTTTGAGGAGAGCTTCAACAAGGCCTTGGTGCAGCATCTGGAAGAACTCAAGCAGAAACTAGGGCCACCCCGTGAGTGTGTGGTGGAGGGCCACCTGAGCTTATTAGAGAAGGAGCTGAGGGACAAAGTCAACTCTTTCTTCTGCACCCTCAAGCAGACCCAAGAGGATATTCTCTCTTTCCCCAAGCCCTAGAACCTCAATGTCTGAGCAGCCTTTCTCAGCTCTTCTTAGACCACCATTGCCTCCTGACTTTAGATTCAGACCAAGTTCTCTGTCCATCCATCCACCAGTCTGCCCAGCCATTCCAAGTGTAGCCCTGGGACTGTTGTTGTGGTGAAAAGTAGCATTCATGGTCCTTGCTGAATAAAACATAAAAAAAAAAGAACAACCCCAACTATACTGTGTATTGATCAGTTTTGTTGAATTTTTTTCTTTCTCTTCTTAAATTCTTTGTTAGAATAAAAACAGCTAGCATGTAGGTAGTGCTCTTAGGATGTGCAAAGTGATTCATGGTATGTAATCTCATTCAAGCCTTACAACAACCCTGAAAGGTAGGTGTTATTTATTTTTCTTCTCATTTTGCAGATGAGGAAACTGAGAGAGGCCAAGATAATTTTAGTGACTTGGCCCAGGGTCATAGAGCTAGTAAGAGTCTGAGGCTGTATTTGAATTCAAGTCCTGCTGTTTCCAAGTCTATTAAACCACCACCTTGCCTACATATAAGGGATGGTTCTCCAGGAGAGCAGAGAGGGAAGGATACATGGAGAAGTTTAAATGTTATAAAAATAAAAGATATAAGCAAAATTTTATTTTAAATTTAAATAAGCAAAAACAAATAACTGTCCTAACTGGACTTCAGTGTCTCAGTCATGGCAAAGAAGGAAGCCTTACTGGTCCCTTGGTACCGAGACTCATTTAGGCAAAATAGCTCAATGGGGGTGTGTGTGTGTGTGTGTGTGTGTGTGTGTGTGTGTGTGTGTGTGTG